TTGAACCAGGAGGCAGTTGTCAGAACAGAGCAAGGGAACACTGCATGGTTCAAAATTGGGAAGGGCGTACACCAGGGATGCATCCTATCTTCATACCTTTTCAACCTATATGCAGAACAGATTATCTGGGAGGCTGGTCTCTTTGAGGAGAAATGTGGGGTCAAATTGGTGGATTATTTATCAACAATCTGTGTTATACATATGACACAACTCTTCTTGCTGAAACTGAGGAGGACCTGAAGCACCTGGTGCAGAGGGTCAAGGACTGCAGCCTCCAATATAGCTAGAGGCTCATTGTCTAGAAGACAAAGATTCACACCACTGGACCAATTGGCAGCATCAGGATACATGGTGAAGGGATTGAGGTTGTTTACAGCTTTAGTTTGCTTGGCTCCACAGTCAACACTCTTGGCACCAGTAGCCAGGAAATTAAAAGGCACATTGCCATGGGAAAGTCTGTTGTTGGGGACCTCTCAAAAATACTGAAGAGCAATGGTGTCTCTCTGGAGACTAAGGTGTGTCTGATACAGGCTATGGTCTTCATAATCACTTGTTATGCATCAGAAAGTTGGACAATGACTAAGGAGGATAGAAAGAGAATTCATGCCTTTGAGCTGTGGTGCTGGAGAAGAATATTGAGAATAACATGGACTGCTAGGAAAACAAACAGATTTGTCCTGGAAAGGGTTAAACCGGGTGGCTCCTTGGAGGCAAGGATTCTGAGAATCTGTCTACCGTACTTTGGACATGTTGTGAGGAAAGACCGGTCCTTGGAGAAGGACATCATGTTTGGGAGGGTGGAAGGACAGTGCAGGAGGGGAAGGCCGTCCATGAGGTGAACTGATTCAGTGACTGGGATAATCGGGGTGGGAGTGTCCGAGACAGTGAGATTGGCACAGGATAGAGCAGAGTTTAGGGCTGTTGCTATGAGTCATGAGCGACTCGATGGCACATAACAACAACAACAAATCGATATTGCATTTCTTTTGTCTTATTGGTGACTGACTACTGAAAGTACCCCTTGCGTTCAGTAACATTATGATCTTGTCTATGGATGTCTCATCTTCTCCACAAGTAATTCTGCTTTTTTTCTTTTTTTTTTAATCTCAGCAGTCCTACAGGTTTTAACTTGAATCAAGTTGTGTTTTCCCTGTTGTTTTTTTCCCCAATATTTAATCTTCTGCTTCTCTCTTAGATAAGTTAATTGCCATACGCTCTCATAATCATGGTCACGTCGCTGGATTCGCAGAGTAAGTAAGTTTTACTGGGTGAATAGAAGGGGTGATAAGATAAAACAAAATTCAGTAAATCTAAAAATATTGATATTTTAAACCGAGAGAAGAGATTATTAAAGTAAGTGGTAAGAAAGCACTTCTGTAGAGCTGTGGAAGATTTTATAAGAGATTTATACTCTTATAAAGTAGCACATTTAAATTAAAAAATATTTAATGAGAGATGTCTTTATAACTGGAAATTAATATCTGTATTATCTCTTTATTAATCACAGTGCTGCTGACTACATCACCAGAGATCCCTTTTGTACATAGTTGCTGTTTAGTGAATATTTAATGCTTATTAGACACTTAAGCAGTCTTTTAAATACATCTTTTCTGCTCATTCCTCATAGCAAAATTATTAGGAAAATATAATTAAGCTCTAATTTTATATGTGGAAACTAATGCGCAGAAAAATTTGTATTTTAGTTCTATCTAGTTAATCTCAATATCTTAAAAAACCAAACACATATGTAGATTTAGAAAAATAATGTTCTGTATTTTCTTTTGATTTATATATTTAACTTCTTTTTAAAAATTCTTTTCACTGGAATTTATTTTCTGTTTATTTAGAAAGAATTTGTAAGGAGTAATTATGATAGGGTGGTATTATAACTTCAGAATTCTCTATATAGGTATCAGTAATAAAACTATAGTTATTTTTCTTCAGCCTGTAGAACTAGTTGCTTAATCTCTGAATTCTGTTTCCTCACTTTAGTTATGTAGAATAGTTTTTCTGTTTACCAGAAGAGGAATTGCATCTATCCTAGATGCTGGTAAATCTGGTTCTCCAGTCATATGTAAATGATCTTAATCTGCCTGTTTACCAGGAATAGAACTGGGGCCTACCTTTCTTTTACTACAAAAGTGCATTGTTAAATGAGCTGGAGTTTCACCAAAATATATAAGACCATGGCCATTCCCAGACTTGCTGTCTCCCAGATCTGTGTAATAAAGTGCATTTATGGATATTGCATTCCGTTTGTCTTATTGGCGACTGACTATGGAAAGAACCTCTTGCATTCAGTAACACAGAGATGTTTACAACACTGGAAAAATAGGGTGATTCAAAATTAGTCAGGTTATCAATGGAAAAATCTACAATGTTGTGTAACAAGTTTATTAACTTGTTGGTGAAGAAGATTCTGTGTTCACTCAAGTGCTAAATAAATCTCTTGCTGAACAAAGGCAGCAGGAGGAAGCAAATAAAACCAAAGATCAAGGGAAGAAAGGGCTAAATAAAAAGCTAGCCAAGGAACAAACAGGTTCGAAGACTGTAAATGTAGAAGCTGATGCTCAAGACTGCCGCTCCACAATGAAGAGAACAATGAAGATGGCAGAGATAGCTGGGAGGCCCCCTCCAAGGAAGAGTCCTCTGGTGAAGACAGGGAGCTGGACCTAGAGCTGAGAGACTCTGCACTTGATAGCTAAACTGGTGCCACCCAGACACAAGGGCACTGGAGACATGTTTGTCACTGTAGTACAGACAGCAGAAAGGGACAGTTTTAAACTTTTATAACCATAGGTTTTGAGGTTAAAAACATGTTTTGAGGGTTAAACTCCTTTTATCTTTGTTTAAAATAAAACAATCTTGCTAATTGTACTTATGCAGTATTAACAACTCCAGAGGCTTGCGCCTCCAAACATGGTTGTAGCATATTTTCAGTTAGTGTAAGTGAATGTGTAATTGACAGTAGAGAAAAGCAATTTTTACATTGCTACTTGTGTAATACCTTTCCTCATTTCCCTAATACTATGGGGGTTTGGGGCATAGTTTTTACACATGTTGGATTTACCAGACTCTCTTTTCACTGTGGATTTTAAAGAAGATGAGGATTTTTTGATAGCTAAAATGTTACTTCTCTACAAGTACTCACTCCCTCCTTTTATCTAAAGTTAATTTTTATCTCTGTCTACATTATGCAGCAGCCTTATCCTGCTTCTTTGTAACAATGTGTGTGTGGCCTATAAGCCTTTTGTATGACAACGAAATATCCAGCAGAATCTAATCTGACAATTTTGCAAGATATGAAAAACTGATGTTATTTTTGAAAATAATTATGTTTTATGGCTGGGAATTCTGTGGAATCACATGCTTCCTGAAGAGAGCAGAATGGGTTACATACTGGAATGAATCAGGCATTATGAGTATTAACCTTTAAATCAATCATGTAAGATCCTAAAAGCCTTAGGAACTAAAATTGAAAACTGACAAAAGTTTATTTTTGAAAAATGAAGTCACACTTACCAAGGATGTCATTTAAGTAGTATTTTTTTAATTGGAAAAATCAATCCATAATGTTTATGTATAAATATAAGTAAATATTATATAAAGAAACTAACCTACTTGAAAACATGGCTATATTAGAAGGAGGTTTTTATTTTCATTTCTATATCCTGACAGGTTTGCAAAGAATAGAAATGGGTTACCTGCAGGTATTTGACAAAGAGTGACTTAGTATTTTGTATATTCATTATCAGGGTGAACCATATTAACACAAAATTTAAGGGTATTTTAGTAAAGGATAGCAATCTATTTTGAATATTAGGTCAGTTGATGGACTTCAATAGGTAGCTATGACACTTCTCATGTTTTGAAACAATGAATATGGGAAAATGGCTTGTGGCTTAAAAAAATGGATGGCAAGCATTATATATTTTAATTTCATGGAGAATTGTTTCTGGATAAAAAGTTTAAATCTTTAGACTTTTGAATTTAAATGGTCTTATAATAAAACTAGGATTGATGGAGGAGCTCTG